TAGACCCCAAGAAAGGTTGACAGCACTAAAGGTGCTAGCACCAATGATTTGAACAACGCCTATTTTTCCCTTCTCTATAAAGGCTTGTTTTTAAAGCGCAAGACATGTTTTTGGCCTCCACAATGTCACAAAACCCAAAGAAAGACGGGACCTAGTTAAAATGAGGCCTGAGACTCATCTGGGCTCACAAAAGACCCTCATAAGCTTGCGTTATTTCCTGGGTTCCGATGAGACTAGCGAACAAAGTGGCACGGTAAAGGGTTTACATGAGGGTAGGGGCAGACTTAAACCCACCCCTTTCCAAAGTTTACACGACACAAAAGGAAACTCGTTTTAAAAGAGGCCGTTTGGATGGCAAAGGCTGAGGATTTGATCCAGCAGGTAATGTTACCTAGACTGATTAGTCCAACGAAAAAGAATGGACGAATACACCATAGACATGCATGTCATCTCTAAGGTTGTCAGTTACACTCGGTAGGTACTGCCGTGATCAAATTCCGCGCGGCGGTAGACAAAAGGTCAGCATATGCATACACAGCGCAAAGAATGGGGGACACAATACAGGATGACAGCGGCGCTTACCAGACAACCACGTCAAGCATAACCATGGAAATAGCTGCTGCTTCTAAAGTTTTAGCGTGAGTATCCGAGCAAACCGCCACACAGGCAGTAATTGTCTCAGACTCAATGAATATGCTTCAGAAGATAGCAACAGGCAGTATGCGCTCTGAATGGATAGAAAGCATTAGGAAATCGCACTTAACCTCCGTAATCAGGATCTACACACCGGGTTATGCGGGAGTAAAGGGAAATGAGCGAGCGGACCAACTGGCACGCACTGCACTAATGATTATGGGAAATAGCATGGACAGAGCAGATATCGTCAACGCTATACAGACTGGGCTAGTTGATAAGGAGGAATCCCTGACACTGGCATGATTGCGTGACATGGGAGTATAACACGATGAAGCACGTCTTTGCCGTCTTCGAGGCCGAGATAGGAGACAATTTAACCAGCTTCTCATGGGAACAATTAGTAGAAGTACTTTGGAGTGGCTGCTACATCGGAGGACTGAGCATGCATGGCAATGCCCAATGTGCAGTGACATCAATTGTGATAACAGAAAATAACATAACATCTTGTAGGAAGTCGGCAGTCCGAAATCCAAGTTCAAGGTGTCTCCTTCGTGCCAAAGAACTGCATGGTAGTTGGGTTAACAGTTGTTAACGATGGCAGGCAGGTCGTTGTAGGGGCGAAGCTTGCTGGTGGATGTAATGTCCTAAGTCCCCTCCCCAGCTAATAGTGAGGGTACTGCTGGGGTGACCGTTTATTAACACCTCATATAATGCTTCAGGTCGAAATGAACGTTAGGCACAGCCACTTCTTTTAGCCGTGACAACATTTTTTTTGTCTTCTGCCAGACGGTGGCCGTTGCATTTTTTCTACATTCGTAGACTAGAAGGAAATAGTTTCGTTGTCCAGCTTCTGAGGTGAGTGCATGGCGTAACACTGTGAGCTGCTGGATTTCATTTGAACTGTGATTTTGTGTTTTTGTTTTTGCTGGCACAGGAGTGGAGCAACTATGAAGTTACTCGTTTGCTATGAAGCTGAAACTAAGATTGCCAAATTAACAGATTATACATCCCCTCGTGAACTCTCTGGAGTTCCCTGGGAATTCCCATCATTGCATCTGTGGATATTATTTTGTGTTTTCTCTAAATAGAATAGGTTTTGATTGTCACTGAGTTAATGGACAGACATGGTTACATTTTCTATTTCCTTTATATTGTGTGAAAAGAATACTGTCGTCTGCATAGCCAGGATGTAGATTAGGGATGCTAAAAATTATGAGTGGATCATAACTGTTACAAGTCTGGTCATTTTTGACATTTCTCATTATGTGTTCTGCAAATTTATTGAACAGGTTTGGTGAAAGAATGCATCACTTGCATGTGCGCCTAAAGCATCGTACGTCTCATGAAACTCCACAATTTCTGATGATAGGCTCATGTCACGTGTCTGTAGGAGACCACTTCCCCCTCCTTCAGGTGTTTTGAACATGCAGCGACAGTTCTGTGTTTCATAGACCAATCGGCAATAGATGGTTGATGTGGTAACATCACACCGGCCACATTTACTTCCCAATATATGGGTCATCTGTTTTTTTTTTTTTTTTTTTTTTGAAACGTCCATCTCTATTCGGATTTGAACCCACGACCTTCTGATTCGCAGGAATGCGTCTAACTGCACACAACGGTGGCTCTCTTATTTTTTAGTACAATAAATGTCACTTTTGTGTATCTACAGGAAATGTCACGTTGGTGTACCTACAGGAAATGTCGCTTTGGTCTATCTTAGGAAGTGTCGCTTTGGTGCATCTACAGGAAATGTCGCTTTGGTGTACCTAAGGAAATGTCGCTTTGGTGTATCTACAGGAAATGTCACTTTGGTGTATCTACAGGAAATGTCACTTTGGTGTACCTACAGGAAATGTCACTTTGGTGTACCTACAGGAAATGTCACTTTGGTGTATCTACAGGAAATGTCACTTTGGTGTATCTACAGGAAATGTCACTTTGGTGTACCTACAGGAAATGTCACTTTGGTGTACCTACAGGAAATATCAGTTTGGTGTACCTAAAGGAAATATCACTTTGGTGTACCTACAGGAAATCTCACTTTGGTGTACCTACAGGAAATGTCACTTTGGTGTACCTACAGGAAATGTCACTTTGGTGTATCTACAGGAAATGTCACTTTGGTGTATCTACAGGAAAAGTCACTTTGGTGTACCTACAGGAAATATCACTTTGGTGTATCTACAGGAAATGTCACTTTGGTGTATCTAAATGAAATGTCACTTTGGTGTACCTACAGAAAATGTCACTTTGGTGTACCTACAGGAAATATCACTTTGGTGTACCTACAGGAAATATCACTTTGGTGTACCTACAGGAAATGTCACTTTGATGTATCTACAGGAAATGTCACTTTGGTGTATCTACAGGAAATGTCACTTTGGTGTACCTACAGGAAATGTCACTTTGGTGTACCTACAGGAAATATCACTTTGGTGTGTCTACAGGAAATGTCACTTTGGTGTATCTACATGAAATGTCACTTTGGTGTACCTACAGGAAATGTCACTTTGGTGTACCTACAGGAAATATCACTTTGGTGTACCTACAGGAAATGTCACTTTGGTGTACCTACAGGAAATGTCACTTTGGTGTATCTACAGGAAATGTTACTTTGGTGTATCTACAGGAAATGTCACTTTGGTGTATCTACAGGAAATGTCACTTTGGTGTACCTACGGGAAATTTCACTTTGGTGTATCTACAAAAAATGTCACTTTGGTGTACCTACAGGAAATGTCGCTTTGGTGTATCTACAAAAAATGTCACTTTGGTGTATTTGCAGGAAATGTCACTTTTGTGTATCTACGGAAAATGTCATTTTTGTATATCTACAGGATATGTAACTTTTGTGTATCTACAGGAAATGTCACTTTTGTGTATCTACGGGAAATGTCACTTTTGTGTATCTACGGGAAATGTCACTTTTGTATATTTACGGGAAATGTCATTTTTTTTTGTATTTACAGGAAATATCACTTTTGTGTATTTACAGGAAATGTCACTTTTGTGTATCTACAGGGAATGTCACTTTTGTGTATCTACAGGGAATGTCACTTTTGTGTATCTACAGGGAATGTCACTTTTGTGGAAGAGCTGGCAGCTGTTCAGGGTGAGATTGACAAGCTTGTGGCTCAAGGAGTTAACATAATTATCGCCCTAGGGCATTCAGGTTTTGCTGTCGACCTTCACCTGGCAGCACACCTGAAACACGTGGACATCGTTGTTGGGGGACACACAAACACATTCCTCTATAACGGTGAGTGAGTTGGTGGGTGAATGACATACAAACACATTCCTTTATAACGGTGAGTGAATGGTTGAAGGACATACAAACTCATTCCTTTATAATGGTGAGTAAGTGGGTGAATGACATACAAACACATTCCTTTACAACAGTGAGTGAGTGGGTAAATGACATACAAACACATTCCTTTATAACGATGAGTGAATGGTTGAAGGACACACAAACTCATTCCTTTATAACGGTGAGTAAGTGGGTGAATGACATACAAACACATACCTTTATAACGGTTAGTGAGTGGGTGAATGACATACAAACACATTCCTTTATAACGGTGAGTGAGTGGGTGAATGACATACAAACACATTCCTTTATAACGATGAGTGAATGGTTGAAGGACATACAAACTCATTTCTTTATAACGGTGAGTGGGCGGGTGAAGGACATACAAACGCATTCCTTAATAACGGTGAGTGGGTGGGTGATGGACATACAAACACATTCCTTTATAACGGTGAGTGGGTAGCTGATGGACATACAAACACATTCCTTTATAACGGTGAGTGGGTAGGTGATGGACATACAAACACATTCCTTTGTAATGGTGAGTGGGTGGGTGAGATACATACAAACATATTCCTGAATAACGGTCAGTGGGTGGGTAAAGGACATACAGACACATTCTTTTATAACTTTGAGTGGGTGGGTAAAGGATATACAAACACATTCCTTTATAACTGTGAGGAGTTGTGTGAAGGACATACAAACACATTCTCTTATAACGTTGAGTGGGTGGGGGAAGGACATATAGACACATTTCCTGATAATGTTGAGTGGGTGGGTAAAGGATATCCAAACACATTTCCTGATAACGTTGAGTGTGTGGATAAAGGATATCCAAACACATTTCCTGATAACGTTGAGTGGGTGGGTAAAGGATATCCAAACACATTTCCTGATAACGTTGAGTGGGTGGGTAAAGGATATCCAAACACATTTCTTTATAATTCTGAGTGAGGGGTCAGCAGTTGTTGTTTATTGTATGGCCTTGGATGTGCGAAGCCATAGGTTGTAGGAAGAGGGAATGTTTGAAGTCCTGGGTTCTGTGAAGACATGGGATGTGTGAAGCCATAGGTTGTAGGAAGAGGGAATGTTTGAAGTCCTGGGTTCTGTGAAGACATGGGATGTGTGAAGCCATAGGTTGTAGGAAGAGAGAATGTTTGAAGTCCTGGGTTCTGTGAAGACATGGGATGTGTGAAGCCATAGGTTGTAGGAAGAGGGAATATTTGAAGTCCTGGGTTCTGTGAAGACATGGGATGTGTGAAGCCATAGGTTGTAGGAAGAGGGAATGTTTGAAGTCCTGGGTTCTGTGAAGACATGGGATGTGTGAAGCCATTGGTTGTAGGAAGAGGGAATGTTTGAAGTCCTGGGTTCTGTGAAGACATGGGATGTGTGAAGCCATAGGTTGTTGGAAGAGGGAATGTTTGAAGTCCTGGGTTCTGTGAAGACATGGGATGTGTGAAGCCATAGGTTGTAGGAAGAGGGAATGTTTGAAGTCCTGGGTTCTGTGAAGACATGGGATGTGTGAAGCCATAGGTTGTAAGAAGAGGGAATGTTTGAAGTCCTGGATTCTGTGAAGACATGGGATGTGTGAAGCCATAGGTTGTAGGAAGAGGGAATATTTGAAGTCCTGGGTTCTGTGAAGACATGGGATGTGTGAAGCCATAGTTTGTAGGAAGAGGGAATGTTTGAAGTCCTGGGTTCTGTGAAGACATGGGATGTGTGAAGCCATAGGTTGTAGGTCGAGGGAATGTTTGAAGTCCTCGGTTGTGTGAAGGCATTGTTTGTAGGTCGAGGGAATGTTTGAAGTCCTCGGTTGTGTGAAGATATGGGATGTGTGAAGCCATAGGTTGTAGGAAGAGGGAATGTTTGAAGTCCTTGGTTGTGTGAAGATATGGGATGTGTGAAGCCATAGGTTGTAGGAAGAGGGAATGTTTGAAGTCCTCGGTTGTGTGAAGCCATAGGTTGTAGGAAGAGGGAATGTTTGAAGTCCTCGGTTGTGTGAAGCCATAGGTTGTAGGAAGAGGGAATGTTTGAAGTCCTCGGTTGTGTAAAGATATGGGATGTGTGAAGGCCTGGGATGTGTGAAGGCCTGGGATGTGTGAAGGCCTGGGATGTGTGAAGTTCTAGGAGCAGTGTATATGTCTGGACCAACGTGTAGGTGGGTTAGTGTTTGTGGTGGGAAAAAAAAAGGGGAGGTGGGTTGTGTTTGTATATGTGTGTGTGTGACAACCCTGATCGAAGACTATGGTACATATTCAGGTACAGCCCCATCCACTGAGGTGCCTGCCGACCTCTACCCGACACTGGTGCTCAACGTGCACGACCAGCGCCAGGTGTTGGTGGTACAGGACTACGCCTACGGCAAGTACCTGGGCGAGCTGCACGTGACCTTCAACGACTTGGGTGACGTCATCAGATGGTCAGGGAACCCGGTGCTGCTGGACAACTCTGTTGCCAAAGGTAGCAGTGGTTATAGCTTTTTTCCGCCTTATAAGTAAGTAAAGTAAAGATCCCTTTACGCCTATAGGCGAATCGGGCATATGGAAAGAGCACTTATATTTTTACAGACAAATCGGCACTAGGTGGATAAAGTGGTCAGCATTACGCCGGCAGTCCTTACTTCCCCAAGACATACATCCTGGTACCCATTTTAGGCTGGGTGGATCCGCGACGCCCTGTACCATGATAAAAATCCACGCCGCCAGGCATGGGTTTCGATCGGGGTACGTTGAATTACGAGTCGCACTTGCAACGCCTTAGCCACGGACGCCGCTTTTATTTCCTTACTTCGTGTCAGACCATCGGATTTGCTATTCTTGTTACAGCGTTTATGTTTTTATCACAGAGCTGACTGCAGCACATCGTTAGAGATGTGTAATCCCTTCCTCTTTTTGTCCCAAATGATAGACAAGTAAATAGGCATCTACTATGAATACGCCCAAAGATCAAGAGCATTGGCATCATGGCTTTAATGCCCAATACTACCTTACACCCTTAAAAACACCTTCTGTTTTTCGCATGATGTCATAGAACAATTATGTCAAGATCATTCAATATTTGATCTTGTTCAAAAATATTTATGTATGTCTGCTTCCTTGATACTACACACACACACACACACCACACACACACACACACACACACACACACAGAGAGAGAGAGAGAGAGAGAGAGAGAGAGAGGAGAGAGGAGGAGAGAGGAAAAAAGACAAATACTTTATAATCAATTTATCCTCACCCAACGCTCATAAATTATCAAAAACGATAGAAGAGTCTACAGACAGGCAGAGGAGATTTAAATGAGATAATTGAGCATGATATGATTTGATTTGGTTCAAGAACCGACATCACAGCACTCGGGGTATTCCCATAAGTGCTCCGTCCCCATCTTGAACAGCCAGCGAAGAGTTCCGATACTAATGGTGCTAGTAGCATTCTGATTAAACGTCCGTCTTGCCTTTCCTCTGAGCCTCGAGCATCTGCCAGAACCTCTCGTCATCCCCAACTGCATTAATCTTACCAGACTGTGGTGATCCATCTGCTCCTCCCAACTGTACAAGCTCTCCCATAAGGCACTAACCACGTCTGCTTTATAATGTATCAGTATTCCACCAAGTTGTGCAGAGCCAGCCAGTCTGTCAGCCTGTTCATTTCCCAACACACCAGCGTACTCTGGTGAAAATATCAAGACAATACTCCTCACCCGTGTCCTCCGCAGTGAAGCATGCCACTCTGCACGAAGCATACCTGTTCTGATTTTCCTTAGCATGCTTTCTGAATCAGTTACAATCACAATGTGTGTGTGTGTGTGTGTGTGTCTTGTTCTCTAGCCAGCAGAAAGCTGCAGTGACCGCCTCCACCTCCATTCTTAAGCTGGATGTTGTGATATCATATGCTAGGCTCTCCTGCACCAAACGTCGACCATTAACTTTTGCTAAGAAGCCTCAAGCTTTTTTTTTTTTTTTTGCCTTTTGACACTGAACAGTCTGTGTAAATGATCAAATCCTCTGAGCGTGCATTATCTTGAATTCTTTCTTTCTTTTGTCAAAATCTGCTTGTGCCGCTAGGCGTCGCAGTCTTTCAGATGATCGGCAACCGAGCCAGGGCGCGCTCAGTCGCTTCATATGCCGTGATGTTATGAAGTCTCAAGTTGTCCGTGACTCCTTCAATCCATCTTCTTCTTGGTCTTCCCCTGCCTCTTGGTGTTTCGATTTTCATGTTGTATGCTCTTGATGCTGGCATCGTTGGTTCCATTCTCATTAGGTGACCAAACCATTTCATTCTTTGCTTCTCAATAAATTTAACGATGGGTATGGTTCCAATAGTTTTTGTAATCACATCGTTTCTCACTCGATCTCTTCTGGTTTTATTCGCAGCCATTCTCAAACATCTCATTTCACAGGTGGTTAGTATCTTGAATTAATTGCTGAATTTCCACCTCTGTGGCACCTGCTGGCCAGTCTCTGCATTCCCGGCTCAGCGTGATTTTGACTCTACACAAGTCTGACTGCTCAGGTGGCACTTTAACCCACTCCTCTCCTCGCCGAATGTTCTCAAGGATGCAAAGCTGTCTGATTGTGTCTTCTGCCTGAGCCATTCATGACCTCCCTCTTATCAGCCGCTGACCCTTAACTGCACCAGAGCTTCATGCAGAGGGTGGACTTCACCTGCACCTTGTGCCTACCTGCAACCGTCGGCAAACCAAGGATGTATCGCATACACACCACTGGTGCAACCCAGAATGACTCGCATAGCCGCGTTCTGTATGCGCTCTAGTTTGTCCATCTGACTCTTTGAGAGGTAAGCAGTCCCAGGACATAATCAACCACTGACAGGATCAGGTGCTGATATAGTGTGAAAAGCATTCTCAGCTCTATGTCAGTTACAGCCATAGTCTTAAGTGCACTAAGTCCTTTTTGGCATTTCGTCACAACACTCTCCACATGGTCCTTAAATGACAGGCTCCTGTCAAATGTAATTCCCAGATACTTCAGTTTGCTCTCTCTCTGTTGATGTTTCTACCATCTATCGTGAGACTTGGAACATTATCTTTAACGATTCTGTTGTCCAGAGAACACCACAAAACTGACGCCTTTTCAGGGTGGACGACAGCCCTCATTTCTGTGCATGTCATCTGCTAATATCTGGGATTCCCCCTTATTAGCAAAGAAGGCGGGGTCTTTGAAGTCGGGTATGTTTGAGGAGACAGGACAACGGCATGTTCTTTGCTAGGTGCTAAACAAAGACTTGGCGAAAAGGCATAAACAAAGAAGTGATTTAAAAAAAAAAGTTTCCAAATCAAAACATTTCTCAGAAAGAAAATGCAGTTTTCTGTCACTTCAATGCCGTGGACGGTAATTATATCGAGGACAGTGTCAGATGTCGAGTAACGACCAGTTTTAAAAAATTCTCTTTTACATGTTTTTCTAAGCACCAAAACCTGGCCAAAGTTTCTCACAAGTTTTAGACGCCATAGATGTATTGGGTGAGGGAGGGGCGGTTAGGTAGGTGGGGGAGGGGGGGGGGGGACTTCAAGAGATGCGTATAATTTTAAGGAATTTATTAACCACAACTCCTAAGTAGAAAACCTGCTCAGCATCAAACTGAAACACAATGTTAACCTGAAAGCATCTCTCTCTCTCTCTCTCTCTCTCTCTCTCTCTCTCTCTCTCTCTCTCTCTCTCTCCCTCTCTCTCTCTCCCTCTTTTTTCTCTCTCTTCCTCTCTCTCTCTCTCCCTGCCCCCTCTCTCTCTTTCTCTCTCTCTCTCTCTCTCTTTCTCCCTCTCGCTCTCTCCCTTTTCTTCTCTCTCCTCCCCTCTCTCTCCCTGCCTCTCTCTCTCTCTCTCTCTCTCTCTCTCTCTCTCTCTCTCTCTCTCTCTCTCTCTCTCTAACAACAAAGTATCTTTTCAGAAAGCTACGGAAAAGTCCAATTTTTATTAACTTCACCACTGTTGAAACAAATGACAAATGGGTTACCTTAGCCGCGCTACCCATACATAAAGCTTGACAAAAAATACATAAAATATCAATGTATGTTTACTGCGTTGTTCCTGCTGAAAGATGTGAAGTTACAGAGGAATGTGTTTGTTATGTATGCAAAGATCTCGTATAGCTTACATCCGAGGCGATAATCAACTATTGAATACGTATAGAAAGAATTCGCTGGTACTACTTCGACTATGTACTGTATGCGAGCGAGAAAGTGGCGTAGTGCTAATTATGTCATTTTCAGAGAATAGAAAGATCAAATCTGCAAAATTATGAGGTTTGTTTTTAAGTTTGGGTAGAGGTAAGACAGCTGCGTTGTTGGCGCAGGCATGCAAGAACCGCAGCTGGTTCGTCTCGTGGTGTCGTAAACAATCGTGATGTCAGTAAATATTCATCAATCATCGTGTCTGCTTATGAAAACAAGTAGCTTATAGTGCCGACCAATCTGGACAAGGAGGTGATGCCAGGTTGTGATAATATGGACATACAGACGTGGTTTTGTTGACTTGTGTGTGAATTGCCGACCAGTTGTCACTGTAAATTGTGCAGATATCCATTGGTAGGCTGTATACAGATTCTCTGTGTAGCTAGTTTTAGTTTCCAAGACAGCCCTAACCAGTGCATTTCATTTTTCTTGTGGTGGGACTGATGATGATGCTGATAAGACTGATGATGATGTTAATGATGATGGAGCATCTGGCGTTGGTATCTTAAAACGAGAAGGGTGGCTGTTCTTTTTCATCGAATGTAAGGCAATAAGACAAACAGAACAAACGAATGAACGAACGAACGAACAAACTTTATTTTCAAAGGGGTATAAATTGGACACGCCGGCCCGTCTGACATTCGGCCCTTCTAAGCACTCATTTTCAGAGTACCAATGCCTGTTATCAATAATGTATGTCATGGATATAATGAGGAAATATACATTATAATGCATACACACATCATGTATACACAATCTTATACACTCACACACACGTATACATAATCTTACATTCCTATACATGCACATTCATATACAGACATACCTAATACATACATACACAAACAGAGAACACACACATATACATATATGGACATACATATACATACATACACAAACAGAGAACACACACATATACATATATGGACATACATATACACACACACATTCCATACATGCACACCTACACTTGCATGCATGCAGACACACACACACCTACACACATACAATCACATGTACAGACATCCACAACCACACATTTACACTCACATGCATCCATACACACACACACACCTACATGCATACATACACACATCTATGCATACACACATATATACAGCTACATCTTCACACTCATATACTTGCATATATACATAAATACACACACATACACCCACATACTTACACAGCTACATATGCATACATACATCCACCAACATGTATACACACACACATACATGCATACATACACACACATACATACCCAC